TTGCCCGCCGGCATGTATGGCTAGCGACATAAAATCGTAATGGCAGAAAACAACAAAAACTTAAAAGTGCGCAAGGGAGCACGGCACAATGCGTACTTGGAATTACGCAGAGAGGCGGAACGGAACACGTGGATTAAGAGAACGCACGCAGATTAAAGGTTGAAATCAAACTGTTAAAGAACATCAAGTGGGCTTGGTCAGGGCTCTACGCGAGATAGGATGACGACCAGCCGAGAGTACGTCTGTGAGAGTACGACCATCTCGAGTGCACCAGCTAGATATAGATCGTTGATTGTTGCAGCTTCAGGCATGTGTGCGTCTGTATGTTAAACCTCTTTCGCACCGCACGTAGCCAACGGTGCAAACGGTGACAGCTTTGGGAGGCATTCATCTGTTGATCATCATCGTGGCTGATGATGATCAATGGTGAACCTTTCCTTGCATGAAGAGTAATGTTAATCCATAGTATAGGGTTTTTTTGGATACCCATTGTAATTTATATGCATTAATTAATCCCCACTTTCGCACGTGCAGGGCTCACAAGTGATGCCATCACATCTATCCCTCTATTTAAGGAACGAAACAGGAGGATTTCTACACAAATCTGGCTGTCGTCTGATGAAGCTAGTTGTAATTACTGGCGACAGGTCGTACTCCGATTGTAAAAGTTGTGGATTTGCTCTCCAATACACTGGTGTGCTGTACTAGTAACGAATTGGCACGTTCTGTTTACGTGACAACCCTTACTAATTGGCTGTGTCGGGTGGTGTCGGGTTTAACGACACTTTTTATTTAGGCGATCTAACCCAAAAAAAACTATTATGGATGACATTGGTCGCGACAGCCTACGTGTTAAACGAAGTAATATGAATGCTTATAGAAGGTGGACGAAGCTCACTGATGGCTGTTATTACTCCCTACATATCTAAAGGCCAATGACTTAAAATGCACATTGAAAATATAGAATATTCTTTACCAATTGTGGATATGCAACCAAGAATAAATTAATACTGGATTACAAAAATGTCACGCGGGAATTAAGCTGTGCTTAAGAAATAAGTTGCCAACATAATGGCCACATAGTTGGACAGCCGTATTATTTATCAAACACCTCCGTGTGTTTTGAGAAGACAAGAGTTTCCACGCTCAAACGCTCCGGCAATTGAGCTCAAATCTGCGTAAAGCCCCCTTCTTTTAAACCGTCATAAAGTAGTATCAATCTGCTGCCACAATCGACGTTTCATTGTGACACCAGTTACAAATCCGCAATTACTTGTCAGACACGCGGTCTGTCTGGCCTCTCTTCGCTCGCAGACTCAATAACGACGGTGACCTAGGGTGGGAGGATGTGAAATATCTTTTTTTCGCAACCTTCTGCAACTACTTTTGCGTGCCAGGCATGCTGAATCGAAGCAGTTTGTTTTCTCTTTACTCAGTCAGGATGGGTGGTGGGCAGTGCCGGATGAAGCTAGTGTGGGACGTGTAGCATATGTTATAAAGGGGCATTAAAATAAAAGCACGTAAATATTAAAACACAATAAAAAAATTACTTGCACAGTAAAGTAATTGTATTTTTTTTAATTTGCTGTGCAGCCAGATAATACGACAAATCGCTAACCTTAAACACCCAGTCGTTCATAAAAGTTGGTTATTTACCGAAAGAACCAAAAAGTATGGATTCCTGCAGTCACGAAAGCTTCAAATCAGGTTCGGAGTTGATAGCTTGAAAGCATTTAGCGCGGGGCCCTTGAAAGTCCGGGGCCCGTAGCATATGCAGCTACTTTTGCTGCTAGGATAATCCGGCACTATTGGTGGGTGGCAGAGATGTGCTGGCAACGAGTCGAGGTGTGCGTGTCGTGTACACGAGCGGTGAACCCTTGCATGGAATTTGGCGAGAACACAAGGTCACGAGGTCACGGTGTTTTTAGGCGTCGTTTGTCAGCGGCACAAATTTGGATTTGCTTTACGTTGACGAGTGGCAATTGGCAGCGACGGGGGGAGGGTCACGGCGAACCTTTTATAATTCCGTCATTTCCAGGCGCTTGTGTGCCTTTCAAAACGATCTCCCTTCATCCAGCCAGGCAATATGCAAGTGCGCCCTGCGAGATCATCACCATCATTGTAGTTGCGAATCATGCGGGCGTCAATACGGGAGTGAGGCTGTTAATCGCTCAAAGTGGGTTTTGAAGATTCCCCCCCCCCCCCCCCTTGAGAAAGGCGCCGAATTACATTTCAAATTGGTACACTTTCTCACGCTTCGTATGCATTATGTAATTAACTTCTTTCGCACCGTACGTAGCCAACCGTGCTAATCCGAGGTGCGGGAGGCGGGGTGTGGCGGACCAATACCACCTGGCCTGGCACGGAGCCAGGCCAGGTGCCAGGCCAGGTGCACTTTGAGGCCACGTGAAGTGTCGAAGGCTCGCTGTGCGTCGTTGACACGAATGGGGAGGGTGGGTGGACAAACGAAACACAGACAACATGCGTCCCGAGGAGCAGATTCACAACACGGGCTGAGGGAGGCAGATACACACTTTGACACGAGGGGTTATGATTAGTATGAATCGGACGTGCAATTGTAGCTCGATTAAATTAATACGAGTTATGTTTTCTCCAAAACCCGCCGTTAAATGTGCGTAATTCGCTGCCCCTTCGCCAATACACTGAATAATGACTGCCTCCTCACTCCGTGCCAGTCACCGGATGTTCTTCATACTTCGCCATGCTGGCCACGAACCTGGTGACCCCGGGTTCGATTCCTTCTCACGGCCTACACTAGTGACGATTATCTGAACCGGTCCTGGGGCTCCCCTAGGTCGACTCAGCCTCAAATGAGTAGCTGGTGCGGTGGTTCAGTTTCATTTATTTGGTATAGCCCTGTGAGCCATTCGGCTCTTGAATGGGGTGCAACCGCAACAAACAAAAAACAAAAATATGAACAAGAAAACATCTTAAAGTGACTGCGCAAACAGAAAAATCCAGGAAAAAACTGGAGTCTTCCAGAAAAAAAAGCACCGTACACCAATGCTGTGCAAAAATCCCAGTGGGATGCAAATCAAACAACAACAACCACAAGCCAACTTAGATTAAAGCCATCATTCTAACTCTGTACTACAACAAACAAACATGGCCAAACTAAAAAACTTTTCGAAATCACCAAAATAAAGCCATAAGCAACGTAACAGTGGTCATAGGGAACTGTGACCGAAATTTCACAATAAACGACATAAACAACATGTACCACCAAACCATGTAGCCATAGCTGGTTGTATGAGTCACTCCACAACAGCAGGAGCATCAGTAGGAGTATCAATATTTTTCAAATGCACCTTTAAAGATCAGCACACTAAATCAAAACACAAGATCATACGTTGCAGCGGTCATCCGGAACGAAAACATTGGATTTTAGGCCACTGAATAGCAGTTTTGAGTGAAGATCTCATAGGTAGTGATTCAAGTTGCAGTTTATTGCCAATTGCATTCCAGACCCTGGGGGCCTCAATAGCAAAGGCCCTTCCTCCAGTATTTGTACGGCAATAAGGAATGTGAAGCTGGTAAATGAGCGAAGACCTTAGGTCACATTTGTTCTTCGAAACAGAGAGGAGATCCAGCAGGTAGTCTGCGGATTTATTTGTAAGTACATCGTGAATAAATAAGATCAGGTGCACAAGCCGCCGAACATTAAGAGATGTTAAGTTTGACCCAATGTAGAGATCACAGTGGTGAGTCCTATATGGGAAGTTCAATGCAAATCTTAAGGCCGAGTGATAAATTGAGTCAAGCTTCTTCAGTACAGTGCTTGGGGCTGATTTATATACGATGTCACAGTAATCAAGTAGAGGCAGTATGGTAGCTTTTATCAATTCCAAACGAAACATAGGGGAGAAGCAGTGCGTGTGTCGATACAGAAAACCAATTTTTATTTTTGTCTTTTAACCAATATAATCAATGTGATCTTCAAATTTCAGTTTTGAATCCAGGATGACCCCAAGATACTTAAAGATCTTGACTTGCTCTGTTTGATAATTATTTAAGGAATGTAATCGGGGAAAAATAACTTCCTGCTTTAGTCCTGGTGAGAAGCATAGCACCTTGGTTTTGGAGGTATTCAGGACTAGTTTAAGAGCAACTAGCTGATGGTGTAGTTTGTTGAAATCACCCTGGAGCTTAGCAATCACGTCATCCGGAGAGCGGCCAGCAGTAATCAGTTTTGTGTCATCTGCAAAAAGATGTACCCCGGAATTATCCAGGTCAGTGCCCAAGTCATTGCTGGTCACCCACCCCCTCGTGTGCCGTGCTGGCGTCCATAGGTGCTATTCGCTAATAGCACTTGCCTTAACAATCTGTTTAGGCTATACGGGGGGACCTGTGTCTTTGGGAAGGAAGGGGAGGCAAGACTGGTTCAGATATCACTCACCGCTGCCATTAGCCATGGACGGGAATTTAACTTTGAGTAACATAAACATTATATCGTATATATATATTTTAAAACTCGTTTAAACAAAGCCAGTACAAATGAGGATCACGGTGAAAATGTTTTTCTCAGCCCTACCCCCCCCCCCCCCAGTTTGTGTCTGCTCGTTCCTTGCCTAGGTTGCCCTTGTGCTGCAGTCGCCTCTGTACACTTTGGTTTAATCTCACTACGATTCTTCCGATGTCGTCTTCCCTCTGCTAATTGTGCATCGCTCTCAACCCATACGGTGTACCCGTATTCTTGTACAGGGAACATTCGTTTTCAGGTCCATACGGCGTACAGCCGTTTTCATTGGGCACATTTTTGTTTGTCTATTTGTTTGTGTTTCTCCCTTGTGATGGGACTTTGTAGGGTGAAAGTTGATATTTATAAGGGTTTTAATTGGTCCGTGAAGAGGTAGGGCACTCACTGGTAAGGAGCTGACAGGTATGATTTTGGGTTCATAAATTCTGTAATTAGAAATTATACTAAATTTATTCGCGAATAATGTTGCCGATTGTACTCTCCGCATGTAATAAAACGACGTTGTTTTTATTGTTGCATGACTTTATTCAAAAATGTAACAATACACCATATTTATCAAAACTGCATGCACTATTTCAAAGCTGCTCCCAATTCATGTGCCCGATACAAAAAACAAGTTGAATTTCATGCATTACTAAAGATTACAAAATTATTTCTATAAGTAGATTGTGATAATAAAACAAACTTGTTCTAGAGTAAATGTGTATAAAACATTTTGACATGTTGATAATTATACATAAGTCCATGCAGTTTATATTGGGGATTAAAGCAATAAAAAGCCTACAGTACATATATTCATCTTGGAAACAAATCTCTTTCGGGCAGTGCTATAGGATAATTGCTTTTGGAAACATTGTTAAAGTTCAATCTGCCTGAAAATAAAATAAAGTCTCGTATTTAACCATGACTTGAAATGAGTCAGTATTTTTTATATTTCCCTTAGAGAGACGATAATATTGCTCATCATTACGAAATTATTTGTTGTCGTTAATAAAACATGTGCATTTATCACCAACACCCATAACTTTTGGTATACACAGCACAACAATACAAATTCCAACAGGTCACGTGCTGTGCACTTTATGTTTAATTCTACAGCCCTGTGTCAGTCCACTGCTAGATTAAGCACATTTCAGCAAAGCTAGTCGGTGCAGGTTAGTGAAAGGAGGGGCCCAGGAAAACTTCAGATATCACTGGCTGGTGATGTAAGCTGTGGCCTCCATTCACACTCAGGACTCTGTGTTCAAATAGCATGGTAAACGAACCACTATATCCAGCACGTTCTGAAATATATTTCGAATATAATTCCTTATTTTGTGAAGAAAAGGATCACTGGATACTAAGTGAAGGTCCTACTTGAACCCAAGTATCTGCCCTCTATTTTAGTTGAGAATTTTACAATGTTGGCTGCCAGCAGAAAATACATGCACAAAGGGATAAAACAGCATATTTTTTTTAAACATAGGCAATTTCTTGCTCATACCACTGCTGACAGAAAGATCTCCACTAGACAGAGCTCTAGAGACCCCTATATAGAGTATCTGACCTACTCTATCACGCTGGCCAGATGTATTTCAAGTAGGGAGTACCAACACTTTACCCCACCATACGCGACCGGCCGATCGTCACACTGGTGTACCCATTCATGTTGCTGGGTGCACAGAGGCAAAACTTGCAAATCATTTCAGCTGCCACGTCTGGTGATAGAATCAAGCCGGCGACCTCTGGATTACACATCCAGTGTGCTAACCATGACACCATGGTAGCATTCAACACGTAGAGCAACAACGTATTTAATATACTCCCCCCATGTTCTATAGATGGCAAAATGTTAATAAAACAAACGCTCTCCGAGTCTGTTGCTTGAATGTAAATGAGCTCTGATAAAGCACCTTAGCTCTGTGAAAAATGTCTGCAAAACCTGTTTACCTCATATAGCAAAAGATACAAAGTCACAACGAGCCACACCGACAAACTGTTGCCGCCTTAAGTAGACAGCAGATCTACTGACGTCAGCATTTGTCACCACTAACCTAGTTGTCGTTGCCTTCAAAATAATAATGATACCATCCCATTTCCTCGTAAGTTGCTGTTTAAATTAGAAATTTAACTACATAGTGAGTACGTCTAAAATTTCTGGTCTTTAAAAGAAAATGTATCATTAAAAAAATGCTGATATAAAACACAAATGTAAAAAAAAATGTACCCACATCCTTCCAGTGAGAATTCTGACAATTTAAATCTCCCTGACCAATTTTTCCCCGGTATTTAAGGTGCCCATCCAGTATTCCTAAAATGCATAATCAGAAAAGCTATTTTTTTTTATTCATGTAATGCATGATGGCTCATTACAAAAATATTAGTCAGAGTAAAAAGTATATATTAGTTTTTTTTATTTAAAGCTTTCGTGACTGCAGGGATTCATATTCTTGGTTCTTTCGGTAAAGTCACGTAGAAGGGAAATAATAAAATAATATAGATATAAAACAATAAAAATTCTCACGACGTATCGACTGCAACACAAGCAATCATCATCAGGTGTGAAATCCAAGATTTTTATTGTTTTATATTTATATTATTTTATTATTTCCCTTCTACATGACTTTACCGAAAGAACCAAGAATATATATTAGTTGTTATTGATTTCAGTCAGGAAAATGACCCCAAGAGATTTCACAAGTCTACACTTTGATATAACAAAAAAAACGTGATACTGTAATTCATTAGCAGTTGTGCATAAGCACAAATAACAACAAACCAACGCATTCATCAATAACACCACCCTAAAGATAAAACTTTCTATAATAGGTGATATCTCGGGCAATAGCCATTTCCCGATATGTCACCTATTACATATATTTTTCCTTTTATGGTAGCATTCTTGACAAGTGTGTTGAGTGTTGTCACTTACACTTTGATAGGTCATTGCCCCTGCCTCTATTGAGTTTATAAATTGTGGCTTTTCTCTCTCTCTCTCCCTCTCTCTAATTGTTGGACTTCGACTGCCAGTTCATGAGCTGGTCGTATTTCTCGCGCGTGATGAAGCCCTTGGCGTAGGCCTGGAACAGGGGCATCTCCTCGCCGTCCACCAGGATGCGCACGCGCCGCTCCGTGCGGTGCCACGACTCGATGCAGGCGATGTACTCGGTGATACGGCGCATCAGGTTGTGCAGGCACGTCTGCATGTCGATTTGCTGCAGGCACAAAAGAGCGCGGGAAATTAGCTATTCGGGGAGGGGGCTCAATGGGTGGCATACGACAGCAGCGCATGGCATGTATGTGTGTATGCATGTGGGGAGTGGTAGTGTTTCATCTAGCGCGCCGCGTTACGAATCTGGCGACAGAGTTCGATTTCTGCTCACGGGCCAACACCATTGAGAATTATCTGAACCGGTCCTGGGCCGCTCCTAGGTCAACTCAGCTTGAAATGAGTACCTGGTGCAGTGTGTAAACATCGTCACTGGGGAGACAAAGGCGGTCGGGCATGGTGCTGGCCACTCGCCGCCCACCCCTCGTGTGCCGTGTTGGCCTTCATAGGTGCTATTCGCTAACAGCACTTGCCCCAACAGTCTGTTAAGGCGCGGAGACGCATCAATCGAAAGGTTATGAGCCTGTGAATGATAACGCGAATACTAATACCAATTAGTAAAAAAATATATATAAGGAAATCAATGCCTTCACAATCCACTGTATTTAAGAACTGTGGTTTGCGTGATTTTCCAAAATCATGCTGGACTATATTTATGATCCTTACGATTCAGTGTAAAATGCAAAAGGCTCCCACAGCCAAACTAAAGCGAGATGAGTGGCATAAATATCCCAAGCCTTCCTACATTGTCACCTTTTTGTTAATAACATCTATTGAAGCATGTCAAATATACGCATTGAGAACTGCACTGACACCTGAGATGGACTCACTGACACTATACCGAAGGTTTTTATCTCAATAAGAAAAAAAAGAGTATGATGAATGAAAAAGAAGATACAGTTCTACTCAGGGCCAAGATCTGGCTTTTGATTTTGTTTTACGAAGAACAAATCACGCAGCTGATATTTAATAGAATAACGGTACAGAAATGTAATCTTCATAAGGTTTAGTATTCTATGGTCTTGACACCTCCGCAGTGGCAAACGCTGGCATCTTTTCTTGTCTCCGGCCGGCGTTTCCACCCTGCGGAGGCGTCTTGCAGTACTACTGTCGCCAAGTTCTCTGCTGCATCTTAAAAGTGTTTTCTCGAATACTCACCTCTTGACAGAAGTCGTCCAAGGCACCACGAATTTCATAGTCGGGGAGAACCGCGTGGAACTTCCTGATGAGATCTCTGTACTGCAGCAACAGCGGCTCGTAGTGCTGAAGCACAGATAGAGAAGAGCGTGTGACGTTACCCCGCGGAGATGCAGTATATTTTTAACAGGCATTTCCAATTAGCGGTGGCGATTAAAACTGTTGCTTGTGTACATATCAACAGCGAGCGAGAAAGTATTTATTTTCACTCGTTACACGCATTGTCGACGATGTGGTTTCACTAACGTATATGGTCAATAATCGTGAAGTGTTTTACCTTCATTGCATCGGTGAAATTATCGCAGCACAACTTATAGTCCTTCACTTTCTGTTCATCTTTTCCGAGTTTATCTTGGAGTTTCTGCAAAAGTAATTAACAATTCCTATGCACACCTGTTTCCAAAACCTTTAAACAACACAAATACAAAGATGCCTTTCAATGCATACCTTCACATTAGTCATCAACATCATTCGCAGCAGCAGCTGATGATGATGAGACATTTATGTAACTTACAGATGTTTGGATATTCTTCCCATTGATCATCTTCTTCTAACCATGGTTATTACTAAACTTTGTTTCATATTTTGTAACATAGTCTCAGACGTTTGTCTGTGAAGTTGTGAATTAACAATATTGGTAGACTGTATAAATTAATCCTATGTATTGCTTAGTTTAGCTCCCTCATGTAGGAAATAACTGGTTAATCACAAACGAGAATAATGATGTTTGTACATATTGTTGGGTAAGTCTCCATGCCAATACAGCCAGCGCATCTCAGGAATGTGAAGGATGCCACAAATGAGGGTGAGCCCTTCACCCAGCAATGGCTGCTGCTGATCATGATGTTTATTAACTCTCTCCCATTCCGATGTAACATCATCGGAACGGAAGTGGAATAAAAATAAAAAAGAATAAGTTTATCGGGACGGAGGCTCCCGCAAAGCTATGCGGGGAGGGCATGTGGCACAGTTTGGCTGCAGCTACCATACAGTGCGGTCGCGTCGCTAGAGTTCTCTACGGTGAATACAATGTCTTTCAAAAAAACAACTGCGCCACGCCTCTCTGAATCAAATGTAAGGCTTAAGCGTTCTGAGACTCAGCGGTGAACGGGACACCCACCCTGCAAACTTGCAGACGTCTCGGAACGGGAGAGGGTTAAACAGCCAGAGTTACAAAGTGCTCCCTGACCTTGAGCTGTGCGATGATGGACTTTATCTCCTCGTGGTCGTCGCCCTTGATGGCCTGGGCCCTCTGCAGCTGGCGAGTAGCGTCTCCGTACCACTCGGTGAGAAAGCGATGCTGCACCTTGTAGTCCTCCAGAATTTTCTGCACGTTTCCCAGACTCTGCAGCCTGCCCATTGACATCAGCACATCATCAGCATTACATCGTTTTGCTGCACCACCGTATGTACCCACTTGGGGAAAATCCACCGTGTCAAAATGTAAAATTCAGCAGCAGAGCTCAGAGCTGAGTGCTGCACACAAGTGGTTTAAGACTACAGTTTTGGGAAGAAAAATAATCAGCAGTTTTAGAAAAGGTCTTGCTTCGAATAAATTACAGCAGTGTCAAATTAGTTGGTGGGAGTGGTTCGCGCAGTGGCAATCCGAGTTTGAGTCCCGGCCACAGCTAATTGATATTTATAGAGCGCCTTCACTCAAGGCGTTCGATATTGCTTACAAAACTGTGACACAATCGAATGATGTCGTTGACAGGAGCGTACGAAAAGGATTAATGAATAGGTGACAGCAACAGAGGGTACTTAGGGATCACGAAAGGATATGGGTGGGAAGGGAAGGAGTGGAGGGGTGAGGAGAGAGGGAAGAGGAAGACCGTGGACATGAGAGATGAGGTGAGGCTTTAAGAGAGGAACGGAAGGAGGTTAAGGAGGGGGACTGCTTAATGTACAGGGGACGAATGTATGTTGAACTTCTTTCGCACAGTATGTAGCCAACCGTGCTAATCGAAGGTGTGGAGAAAGAACACGTCATTTTAAAACGTAGGCTTTCGCGACCAATGTTATCCATAAGAGGTTTTTGAGTTAGATCACGTCAACATAAATGTGGATATCCATTGTAATTACTCTGGTTTGTATCCATTGTAATGTATATGGATACATTAACTCCCCCCCCCCCCCCCCCCACTGGCCTTCACACCTGATTGGCTCACAAGTTACAACGTCACATTTATCCCTATTATTAAGACCGAAACAGGAGGATTTCTCCACAACTCAGCCATTTCAATACATACAATTTTTTAAAAAAATTTGTTTTTGTTTCTCCCTTGTGATGTGACTTTGTAGGATGAACCTTGAGATAAGGGCACGGGGTAACCAATAATTCTTAATTGGTCTGTAATAAGGTAGGCACTGATAAGGGGTGACAGGTATGCAAACCTTACTAAATAGTTGTGTTAGGTGGTGACGAATTTAATGACACATTTATGTTTACGTGATCCAACCCCCAAAAAAACCTTTATTATGGACAACAAATGTGTCGGAAGAAAACCTGGACCTGTTCTCGATGGACGCGGGCCACGTTACCGAGTGTTGATGTGGGTCTGCATGTTCTTCCAGCGCTCGATGAGCCCCGTCCCTTTGTCGGTGTAGATGTCCACGTCAGGGTACTGCAGGTTGTATATCTTGTACAGCTCCGCGTTGGCCACCTGGGCTTTTTGGACCTCGTCCTGCATCCTGAGCACCAGCCGCTGCTTCTGCTGGATCTCCAACAGCCATTGCTGGTCACAGCAGAGGACAGGCTCTGGCGTTAGGTTGCATCATCGAAACTACGCAGTCAGGACCTACGTGAATTAAAGGATTAGTGTTAATCGGGGCTAGAGGATATAGCAGCAGCGCTACTATTTTGTGACCTACACTGCAGGGAGCTGGCCTTCTTTCACACCTGTGCTTATGTTCATCGCCCGTTGTCTACTCACTGCTGGGTGAATGTTGTGGTTCAAGTGTGTCTGTTATGGCAGTTGATTTGACTTATAATTCACTGCACGGCTTATTGTGGGTTGATGAGGGGAACAAATGTTATCTTACGGAGTATCTGACTGATATGGGTACCCCTATCCCATAGTGTTCCTCAGTTGTTAATGGTTCTCACGTTTCATGATTTACAACGTTTAAAAAAAAGTCAAAACAGCACTTGGGGCTATGGGTGGCACCTGGTATTTACTACATTTAAGGTAGGAAAATCATTTAAATTTACTTGAATATGTTAGTTAAAATCATAAACGCGAAGGAATGTCATGAAAATGTGACCTGAACTTTGATTATGTACAATGGGAATGGTGGACCTGTCATTCTGAATAGGTGGCATTCACAGAATAAATCACTCAGGAAGAGTACTTGTACTCTCAAAAAACGATACAAATGTTTTTTTTCCTGCTGAATTGAGCATGGGGTAGCACTCGCCCTGAGCCAATGGAGGAAATTCCACATTACTATGGCGAGTATTTACACAGGGCAACCACTGTAGTAGGGATGAAGGGGCTGCATCAACCCTGACCTGGAATCGCAAGCAGCACACTCTACCTCTGGTACTATTTATTCCGTATTCGGTCAGTTCCTCGAAACGTCAAAGCGTGCGGTGCGTGGTCATACGAATGGTTAAGAGCAGTGGATCCCTTACCTTGAGCTGCATGATGTGAGCATTGACTCCCTCTGGGCTGCTAAGCACCAGGTCTCCCTTGGCCAGGTTCTGTTCATACACCTTAATGTTGGACTCAACCTCCAGGACCCCCCGCACCATCATGTCGATGACCTTGTAGCTGTGCGGGACAACACGCTGGGTTACGCGATGACAATATAGGAAAGAGTTCACTGCCGACAATGTAGTTTCAACCTGTAGACCCTGCAGGTATTGCAGGAGGTGGAAGGTAGGTGGGGGAGGATATAACCAAATCACCATGAATTTGCCCGATCTCGTCAAACAGCTCGGAAGCGAAACAAAGTTGAGCCCGTACAGTATTCGTTTGGAAGACTGCCTAGAAATGCAAGGTGCTTGGGCTGTTAGGTTGGCCAGTAGATGCCGGCACAGTACTTAAATTCTTGAATCTACCTGTGTGGAGCCTCGATAGCAATCCAAGTGTATACTCCAGTTTCCTCGCACAAACCAAATGCTAATTTAATGGGATTAGCCAAACGTCACTTTACGGGACCCTCTTGAAGACGTGCCCTGGGACTTGGTTGAGGCAGGTAAATAAGGACAGCGCGAAGGAATTCAGGATGTCCAGTACAGATGCACGTTTCTGGGAAACTGACCCGTACAATGGCAACACTTACTGGTCCAGGCACTTGACAGAAAGACCCTGGAGAGTCTTGAGTTTCCCTGCAGTATTCGGGGACAGTCCTTGGCTCGAGACTGATTCCAGCTTGTGTCTGACATTCTGCAGAGGCGTGTGGACGCAAAAAAAAGAGCACATTTGTAAACGGTGAGTTTTTCTGTGCCTACCACAAAACTCAAGATGACAATCAGATTGTACACATTCGATATATAACACTACGAATGGTTTAATGCCATATAATAAATGATACAGATATACACATTATTATATTTTCCACTTGTGTCCCTCTTTACTGTTATTTGCATTTGGTTAGCTTAATTGTGCACGCATTTTCGTTTATCGATTTTTATCTTACATTTTTTTATCCACCTTTTCTACCTTCAGTCAATCGTTCCTGTAGTTCATTCCCCTTGGTTGTATTAATGACTATGCTGCCAGCAAATGTAACACTTCATCTCCAATCTCATTTTGGCTGTAATTAGCCTTGGTCAGAGTATACCTCCTTGGCTGACTCCTGTTCTGATTTGCACTTTGTTCCTTTCTGCATGCAATCTCAGTGCAGCCATTCCATCCTCATGTACGCACGTTGAACTTCTTTAGCAACTTACGTAGCCAACCGTGCTAATCGGAGGCGCGGGGGAAGGACAAAAAACTAAACATAAAAATCAGTTCTCGATAAATTAGTTTTAAAACATGTATTTAAAAGTGCATAGCTCCTGTGGCTTTCTAATAATGATACTCATCCTTTCTATTCAGTTTTTATTATTATCAAACACATTTATCAGGATCTTGGTATGTGAGAGCCTGGATGACTTCATCAGTTTAAATAGGATATATATGACTATACAAAAAAGATGATATCATGTTGTGACTTATGAATGAAGCACTGGATGTATTATTTCCCGATGCTAAATTTAGGAGAGCTCTGCGATACGTCTTATTTTAACATTTGCGAGAAAAGCTCAAAGCATAATCCCCGCGCATGCCCATTTTCCCATCGCGTGCGGTGGCCGTGCCTGCACACCTCGAGATACTGACAACACCCTGCTATTTTGTTTCAAGTGATCTCAGCAAGGTGAGCGTTCACATACTAACCACACGTCCGAGCCAACCAATACCCATATAAGGACAATTCAAGGGCAGTTGCTCACGGCTGTTGTCCTAGTTAATTGATCTTGTAGTCAGAAAATGGATTGTCGGCTTATAAACGTAAACGTGTTGATATTTTCAGGCGAACAAACACTACTGCTGTCGGGTGCTGTACAGTATAAATTGTGTCCTGTATGTCGTGATATAAGTGTCCAAGGCTACAAAGAGTTAACCCAAGAGCAACACTTAATAACCGTGTGTTTTTATCTATTTATTATTGGTTGTAATATTGTAGTTGTTATTAATACATTGAAGGAAACGTGGTGGTAAAAAAAAACTGCATTTGGTAAAAGCGGAAAGATGCTGCCATTGTGTAACAGTTATCAAGCTGGACTTTCAGTCCCGATCCAGAGGTCACTTGCTTCAATCTCCCAGTGCAGCAGCTGACACAACGTCTCAAGTTTCTCAGATACCCCACCCCTGCCCACACAGCAGTATAACTGGGTTCACCGCAGTAAGTCAATCGTAAGGTTGTGTTGTGATAAAATATTGGGAACTCCCACAGCTTCCTAGACATCCGGTGAGCATGGAAGAGTAGGCCAAACATACCCTCTCGTGGGGTTCTCTAAAGCCCTTCCACCAGCAGTGATGTGAGGAAAGAATTTTATGACTGTACCTTTATATCTTTTCACTTTTCTTTTAATGATCGAAATGTGTCCTTTAAAGCACTGTAAAGTTGAAGTGATAGTCATAGGCAAGGCAGCCTGGTGACTCATACTTTCAATTAATTACACGTTTGCCTCAGCACTGCAATGGTGTTATATGTTTTGCGACACTTCAACCAGTGGATATTGGCGGTGGTGAAAGTGGTGGATGCTGGTTGCTGATGGTAGTGATTGCTTCATCCGGTGACGGTATGTCTGATACATATCCTAGCCTGTGTACCTGAATTTTTACCCGAATGCTGCGTCAAATTTTCTCGAAATGAAATTTTGCTTCGAATATGTTACAGGAAATGTTTTATTTTATTTTGGCTTCCTCTGCAGCACTTTTTTTTTATTTAAATTAACTCTTGCCATTTTGGTGACCGAAGTCACCCTTGCAAATGAGACCCATCTCGGTCTCTTAAGTTCTAACCCTGGTTCAACAAAATAAACTAAACTACTGTGCTCATGATGAAGACTGACTGATACACTGATGAGGATTCGATTTTCGACAAACTTGAGATCGCAAAGTGAGACACACCACATAATATAGAAGCGTGAAAAGATGGGCGATGCGGTGTGCCTTTCACTTGGCATGTGTGTTAGTACTGCCATAAAGACGCGCGTCATTCCTCCGTGGGTGTTGAGTTGCAAGTAACAAGGCTGACTCACTGCGTGACTGGTCGTCCTAGACGAGGCATGTGAGTGACATTATACAGTTGCCTGGCGGTTGTAAAGGCACACCCATGCACACGCCACCGCCCTTTGAAATATGGCCTGCTTCCAAATCAAGTGAATTTCAAAGAGGCTCATAATGTATCTGCTGCACGCGTCACTTTGTAAACAAGAAGAAAAACGCTTAAGTTTCGATCATCTTAATCAGCCTTCACAGATGTTTCACTTCAGGGAGCTCAATAGGCTCCGCATGACTAATTAAACAAAGGAAAAAAAGCCATACCCAGTCAGACTTTGTCCACGACACATTATGTATGTGACACATTAGCGTATGCACAGTTGTCGAGAACAGGTAAAAATCGCTTAGGTGAAAAGACTAAGCCTGATGGTCATGACTTTTCACTATGGTTACAATTATACTTTTACTAATGTGGCTGCAGTTTAAAAAAAAACTTTTGCCCTTTCCTCTCCATCTTCAACAACCCCCCCTCCAATGCCTGCACGAACATATTGAATGCAATGATTTACTTCGTCGTAAAATACCAATGCAGGCAAGGGTGAGACGGCATCCATCTGTGAAATAAAACCCGTTGGCACCACGAGGAGACATCGAGCAGTGGACAGAGAGCTGCTGCTGTCGCTGCAGGTGAAGGTAATGTTGACCATGACGATGTCACATGCAGGCCAACATTTGGTAACGATGAAGATGATGTATTACTCTGCAGGCAAACGCATACTATTGCACTAAGATGCTTTATAATTTAGCCAAATGCCCGAAGAGAACCCATGAAGAAGTTTAGCTTATTATGGCTCCCCTTAAGAAGTGTAAGGGTAACGCTCATCAAGGGGTGCCCAACATGTGACTGTGGTCATTCAGAACAGACCGTACAACATATAATGACGCAATTCCCGATCCAAAAACACTAAGGAGACATGACTGCGATACACTTCGCTGCTCCCGACGCAGTTATCTGGCTTGACCACCTGAGTGTGAAATTGTAGTTGTTGCTCTGCATCTGCATCAGCCGTATGGAAGAAGGGTTCCCTGAATAACCATTTCTCTTAATAAACCTTTTTGCATCGCTGTTGTAGTGGCCCACCGGCGACTTATGCAGCACTTGGCCTAGAGATGGCCTTTTAGTGGGCGCCACGGTGGCTAGATGTCGTGGGTTCAATCCCAACCCTGTACTCCAGGTGCTAGCGTGGATTTGTCTCCGGGTCCTCCGGTTTTTCCCTTCCACATTTAGAAACGTGCACTTAGAGTATTTGGCTGCTGTAAATTTCCACATGATAACGCCGCTTCAATGATCTATCATTTGAGGCCAGGTCGTTTATGAAAAATAGCTATACAGCTCAGTGGGCCTTATCTGGTAAAACAGAAATAAACTAGGAAAATGTAGATAGAAATAGGACGTTTTACAACAAATGCAAGACGTTTAACACGTAGGCTTTCGCGACCAATGTTATTCATAATCAGCGATTTTTGGGTTTAGATCGCGTTTATTTATAAATGTGTCGTAACCCTCCACCACCCGACACGGCCAATCAGTAAAAAATGTGTCACGTTGACAAAGACAAATAGTTCACTGCTTTAGCCCACCGGTGTGTTGAAGCAACAACATTCACAATTTGAGTACGACGTTTCGCTGGTAATTACAACCAGCATCATCGGGCAATTCGCCATTCTGGCGAATTGCCCGACGCCAGAATGGCGAATTGCCCGATGATGCTGGTTGTAATTACCAGCGAAACGTCGTACTCAAATTGTGAATGTTGTTGCTTCAACACACCGGTGGGCTAAAGCAGTGAACTATTTGTCTTTGTCAACGTGACACATTTTTTACTGATTGGCCGTGTCGGGTGGTGGAGGGTTACGACACATTTATAAATAAACGCGATCTAAACCCAAAAATCGCTGATTATGAAATGCAAGACGGTTAACACAACACATAGCCTGGTTGCATTCATTTACCTGATGATGGTTGCTTGTGTTGCAATCGAAATGTGGTATATTTTTTTTACTTTTTTTTTTTCTACGTGACTTTACCGAGAAAAACAGAAATAGTTTTAGTTTAGTTAATTTCCTTGTGAAAGGCACGCTGCCGAGCAGCAGGCTGTGGGGTGCTGCGTGGCAGCACCTTGACCCGGTCCAGCCGATCCTCGCTGTCCTCCAGAGGCTCGGGCTGCTTGAGCGGCGTGCGGATGATACGGACCAGGATGCTCTCAATCCCGTCCAGTTGCGAGGTGACACTCTGCTGCCCGTCGTTGCTGTCCAGGGTGCTGTTGGAGCCACTCCGACCTGTTTACGTAAAGCATTAGCAAGCTGCAGCGTGTACACAATTCTCTGGCATGTGTCGTGACAGTTACTGCAAGTTTCAACCATGTCTGTCCAGTGCTCGCCGAGCTGCGTTGACTTCCAGTTGCCGAACAAATACATTATCAGGTCACACTCATTACACACAAAATGTTTGCCACAAATGAACCACAATATCTCACTGATCTCGTCAAGAAGCATAAACCATCACGTGAACTCTGGTCATCCTCACAGCGGCTTTTGGCTAACCATCGAACAAACACGGTCACTGCATCATGCGCATTCAGATGCGCTGTCTGGAATGCTCTTCCTTCCGATATTAGGAAGCCACCGGAGCTATGCATTTTAATATCTAGATTGAAAACTCATTTCGCAAGAAATTTTTACGTCCTTAGTCTGTTGTCCTTCCCCCACACCTTCGATTAGCATGGTTGGCTACGTACAGCACGAAATAAGTTCAACGTACATACAGGGGACAGCACCCAAGGGGGTGGAAACATGGCCGCATGATGAAAACATGGAAAAAATGGAAGACGATCCAGAAGAAAATAAAAAACCTCTTGCATGCAGCAGCAGCAAGACCACAAAGCGGAAAGACACCAAATACAACACTCGTATCGCCACACCGTGCATCGCCCATTCAAAATCACACGTCCCATCACATAGCTTGCTCGTCCCTTAAGGCAAGCGACCTCTGTGTTTTAAGAGGCGTTAAGCTTAATTCTAGAGCGCTGCACACAGTTTGCTGAAAGGTGTTACAGTCGCCACACTATGCCCCTGCAATAAGTGAACTGCCTGTTGACTTACAAGCTGTGTACTCAATTTATTACATGGTGGTCAAAGTCAATATTCGTGAGTAAACCTGCCTGAGGTGGTAAATGCCTTGACGAGAGATTAAATGCAGTGTCTTTGAATTATACATCTAATATGCTCGCGTGTATATATTTTTTGTAGTAGTCTGAACAAGTGTACATTCTAACGTAATTCGAGACGTAAATGGTACATATACCTCATTTTAACGTAGAGGAGAGAAGTCTGATAGGAACAATTTTATAGGATGTGAATTGGCATATTGTTAGAGAGTAAGGCATGCTGTAGATACTCTAAAAGGAGAGAGACCAAGAGGCATAATAAACTAAACAATTTTTTTTATTTTACCAGGTAAGACCCACCAAGCTATATAACTCTTTTTCAGAAGAAACCGGGCCACCAATGATAGCTCAACGAAGTGGCTTATCATCACGTGGACATGTTTTACAGACAAATTCTCTAAACGAACATGCAAACCCTACGTGTAAAGGCCTCAGGGTTGGGATCGAACCCACGACCTCCTGCATACCAGGCGAAGTAGTTACCATCTCGCCACCGTGGCGCTCTGATCACTTTGCCTCGACAACTGAGACACAACGATTAGAGAGGGTGAAAGGAAAACTTGAATCCAAGAGCCAGCCCTCAGGCAGAGAACGTTCATGGGACAATGAAGTGAGAGATTTGCTGGGGCGCACCTGGCTGCTTGTTGGTCATGTTTGTCTCGGTCCTCTTGATGGTTCCGTCCACCACCGCTTCCTGACCGCTGCCTCCGCCGGCGCCGCCACCGGCACCTCCCTGCTGCACGATCTTGGCACAGTTCGAGTACTCGCGCTTGAGCCTCGCCAGGTCGTCCACGCTGAACTGCTGCGAGTCCTCGCTCAGCTTGAGGAACTCGTCGTAGTTGATCTCGAGCATGTGCAGCAGGCGTATGTACTCCTCGCGGGAGCCCTGCACGCGTGGTGCAAAGCGACGCGGCCGTGTGAGTTCCGGCCACCCACGGGTTCGATCGTTCCTCGGTATGCATACCTGTCAACCCACACGATTTACCCCGTATTCTTGTACAGGGGAATTGAGTTTTCAGGTCCATATGGCGTACAGCCGTTTCAATACGGACAAAAGAAAATGTCTTTCTTTGTGTTTTGCCCTTGTGATGGGACTTTGTAGGATGAACGTTGAGCTCTATAAGGGCACAGGGACCAATAAGGTCTGAATTGGTCTATTATAAGGTAGGCACTGAAAAGGGGTTGACAGGTATGGTATGCATCTGCTCGAGTGGTTTGTTCTGACTGGATGCAACGCACTGGTGGGTGTTCGCTTATAAAGATTAATTCCAGATGTTGGCAATCCACAAGTTCAACGTACGCACATACATACACACGTACGTACACAATTCCAGATTATTCGTAATCCAGAATGGATTCGCAATCCATAATGGATTACGAAGTGGCTTATTGTCAGGTGGAAATGTATTACAGCCAAATATTCTGAACGCACGTTGATTCTAAATACAGAGGGAAAAACCGAAGGACCCGGAGAAAAATCCACACGACCACGGGGAGAACATGCAAATTCCACATATCAGGTGAGGAAGTTAACATCTCGGCACAGTGGCACTGATCGCTTTGTCTCAGTTGTGGAGACAAAACGATGAGAGGGTTGAAAGAAAACTGGAACTCACGATCCGTAATGGATTGCGAATATCATGCTGTCAGTCATGGGGTTTTTTGACCATACCGCTCCACACCCTTCACGTCCCTTATTTATGTCCCTATTCATCCAAAACACAGAGCATACTTGTGCCTGTACCTAACCTTGTATGGCACCTCTTGCTCCCACATGTTTCCACTGTATTTGTCGATATGTGTGTGTATTTACGTTACTGTTAAGACTAAATATAGAGCTTACTTTCACCTGTACTTAATCTTTTCACATTACATTTGCACCGTGTGTTTAATTTCCGACCTGTTAAATACCTAATTTTGTCAAGTTGTGCAATATTTCTGAAGCAGCCTGTACGCATTCTCTGCAATATTGTTTTTGCATTTTGTTGTTGTTGCTGTGCTCACAGAGCATGGATCGCTTTGCAAAAGAGCCGGACCGGTTTGAGATATCACTCACCACTGATGTTAGCTATCGACCTCAGGTGGCTGGGTTCACAGTGCAATGCGCTAATCCACTGTGCCACCGCTCTACCCGCGTGATTAAGACTGCTTTTCGTAAGAGCAGATAATATAATATGTCCCATCACGCCCGCTCCGGTCAAACGCTGCCCATCTTCTTGCTACCCCTCCTCCACCCTGCGCCATATCTTGCTTTCGCTCCTTCTCTCTGCTTGCCACCTTACACTGGAACAAACTCCCTCTACACATCCGACTCTCCCCCCTCGATTTCCTCCTTTCGCACTGCCCTCAGGTCGTCCCATCTCTTTTCTCTACTCGCCCTTTCCCTTCCTCTTCTGCCACGCCGACCAGGCCGACCAGCACCATCTAATGCCCCAAATGCCTCCCGAGCCGCAGCCTCCACCCCGCTCCCTCCACCCTAGTCACTACCCCATCCCCTTATCTTTCCATTTTGTGCCGTAGTCGATAAGCATTGTCAAGCACCTTGGTGAAAGGCGCTTTATAAATAAAAAAAATAGAATAGAATAGAATCAGGTTATTCGGAATAATGTATGAGCGTGTGGTAGAATGTGATATGATCTGCTATTGGCTGCTTTTCCCAGTTGTATCACGGTAAAAATAGGTCTCTGCAATCCATATAACTTAAACAACAATTATTGCCGAACTGAAAAAAATAACAACTCATTTTAATCCTTTAACCCAGAGTAAGGTAACAAAACAAAGTGTCAGCAAGTGGAACGGTCAGTGGCTGGAAGGGAAGTAAATGAAAGCGTTCACATTTTGAGGTGTAATTTCACAGCCCATGGAAAATCATCCCATCGCTCAACAGTGGACAATGTTCAGATCATCCACGCACAATTTATTATTAATGAAGGCCAGGCATCTGTGCAGCACAATAGTTCACCTGATTGCCATGGCCATAATGACACCAATTATTTCATGTCTGCCCTATTGTTTAATTGTTACTTGCAGCCTGGGGGATTAGGGATTTTTTTTGCAAAATCCCCCATAATATGCCGACCCTAATCCATAAGTCCTACCTGTCATTTACAACACCATAGTCCACATTCCATAACAACTCGCCTTGAATTTAGAAATATACCACTTGGTGTATACCATTAATATCTGGGTATCTGTTAAATATATTTCCTTTTCAGACTTTAAACCTAAAAGACATGAATTAAACTGCACATGACAAAGTGCCACGTCTCATATTAGCTTTGTCTCGTTTCAATGTCCGCACAATGCATGAAAGCATTGAACGTCATGACCTGACTTACGTTTTCAGGCATATCATTGCGCTGGCACTAAAAAGGACGTGATTAATTTGTCAAAAGGTGTAATAAATTATTCCATCATTGCAATTATCCTACATTTAACTGCAAGTAACTTTCTGGAGAATATATCAGAATAATTGACACTTTTGTCAAAACCACCACTGGGACAAAGGACTCCCCCCCCCCCCCCCCCCATGTCGTTTTCGGTCACGCAAGTCGTTTTTACCATACTTCACCGCACTGGTCATTGCGGGTTGGCGAATGAATGGAGTGGGACAGGGCAAGCACCGTTTCAGATACGTCTCCCCACTGACGTTAGCCATAGCCAGGAATATAACTCAGGTCACTTGGTTTTGTAGCGCAGTGTGCCAAAACCTCAGCTGTAATATCAATCAATCAATATATTAATACATATTTATGACTAAAGGTAGTTGTTGGAGGGTTCATGTGCAACTTAAAAATATACGCTCGCAGGACTGCTTTACACACGCTCCTTTTCCACTCTCACTTCAATAGTTTAATGCCAGCCCCGAGCAGTGACATGTTCCCGTGATGTGACTGCTGGTGGTGGAGGTTAAAAACAAAAGAACGACGATAACACAACATGAAGCACGAGACACGCTGATCGAAGGCATTTCGAAAACCGTGCAATCACCGTCGAAGCTTGCCTAAACCCAAAAACAACGGAACTTGGAAAGGCTTGTGCTGCATGTGCGTATGTATGAACTTCTTTCGCACCATACATAGCCAACCGTGCTAATCGGAGGTGTGCGGGGAAGGACAACGGGATCGCCTTCCTCCTAGTATTACTGCAGGACTGCTTATTAATCTCACTGCCGGATGTGGACCGCCGCGATGAGAATTAATTTTGGGGTAATTACATGTATTATTATCGCAGAGAACCCGTTGCTCTGTAATGGAAAATAAAGAGACAGCTGTAATTTTCATACTCTTCTCACAGTCCAGTACTCGGAGGGCTAAAAGTAATCCGATTTTCTTATGTTTTAATAAAATGCTAGGATAATGTATTGTGAGATTTTCTTATACTCCCTAGGATTTAAGGAATATTCCGGTGAAAAGAATTATATTAATCGGAGCACAAACTCAAAAGTTAGAGCAAATTAAATGAACAGCGTCAGTCTTCTGTGTTCGTTACTCCCTCCTCTATCTATGTTGTGCCTTGCAAACTTATTCCGCCATTTCAATTAAATTCAATGTTTAATTGTTACACGAAAAATGCCGTGTGTGTAGCCAGCTACTCAGTTAGTTTTGGTGGCAGCGGCCCACAGCGGCCACTAACAACAGAGTTACTGTCGGAGTGGAGAGGAGCCCAGCCAGCAGCCAGCCAGGAAACTCGAGGCCATAGATTTGATTTTAATAGCAGTATGCTGTAAAAATACGGTCCTGTTGAGTGATCAACAAATGACTGGGCCAGATGGACCAAGGAGTGTTTTCTGCTCAGATAATTTATGTGGTTATCATATGTGCAGGTGCTAGAGATATATATATTTAGAGGTCCTACTGCATTTCCTTTAGACTGCAATGCACCGCTGATCATTCACTGTTTGCCCTGTGCAGCTCTCACTATGCCCTTCACACGTGTAGGACTTGAAATATCACGCGCCACGCGTTCTGTTGCTAGGCAAGCGAGCAGAGTACAATGGGAGCATCTGAGGACACTGTTGTTGTTGTCGTGGCATTAAGGGGGTGTCGTTAAGAGACGCGACAGGTGTTAGGGGTGACGGAGGACGCAGGCCGGTGATTGGTCAGGAGGGTGAGTGGCTAATGACCGGCGCCGGCCTGGCGGCAATAACATGGTCACGTGAGGCTGGGGGCCTGGGGGCGAGTAGCAAAGCGGGGGATGAGATAATTGATTGGGACTGATTGGTGCGGGGATGAAGGGCACAGCGTAACGGAGAGACAGGAGTCTTGGTTGGGATTGGAGCTGGAGTGGTTGGTGCCGGGACAGAGACGTAGCAGCAGTGAGCAGGGATAGATACGATAAGGATAGAGAGAACACAGTGTACGGTAGTAGTGGATAGAGAGAATACAGTGTATGGTAGAAACGGGGAGACATGGAGTGTTGTTAATGGCGGGTTGTGCATCGGAGCGAACGGAGAGATACAGAGCGATGATGAGGAGGAGGTGTGAACTCTATGCGTGAATAAACGAGACGAGAAAGACAACGAGAGTACGAGTCCTACACATGGAACGACAAACACGTACGGCCCATTTGTTTATCCACTGCTGGATGAGGGTCTCTTCATGCCGTGCAAATCACGGGGTTTGTTAGATCATTCTAGATTTGAAGCTTTCATGACTGCAAGGAATCATATTCTTAGGTTTTTTCGGTAAAGTCACGTAGGTAAAACATCAAAATTAATGAAATAAAATAAAACAAAAAATCACGACGTTTCGGAGGCAACACAAGTCTCCGTCATCAGGTGGGACCGTCACAGCCGAATTAGCTGCATCAAGTGAGGCAATGATTCAAGATGCAATCCCTTATAAGCAAGTTGAAGGGGGGAGGAGAGGGGGGGGGAGCTCATCAGAATGTTCTGATGAGCTCCCCCCCCCCCTCTAATTCGGCTGTGACGGTCCCACCTGATGACGGAGACTTGTGTTGCCTCCGAAACGTCGTGATTTTTTGTCTTATTTTATTTCATTATTTTTGATGTTTTACCTACGTGACTTTACCGAAAAAACCTAAGAATTTGTTAGATCATACTTCACCCGCGCTGGTCAGTGCTGGTTGATGAAGGTGGGGAGCCTGGATGTGGAGGCATGGATGTACAGTACAACAATGGATTGATGCACTGCCGTCTGCCTCCCACAACATTATCTGTTCATCACATCTCTGGTATGTTTAATAGCCATTCTCTCTGTTTTTATTATGTACCGGGCAATGTAAATAGCAGTGCTTTTCATTATTACCTCCTATCTCACTTGTGTTGATATTTTTGCTCGTATTTTAAGTTTGGTTTTAAACTTTGCATTATTGCATAATGCTAGGTGCAATGCAAGGTTTCTCTGTCTGGCAAATCCTCATTTCTGTAGGTTAATGTGTTCTTGAAATGTGTTCTGTAAATACTTGCTTTTATGAAAATAAGACATTTATACTTCAGAGGCAGCTCCCACCCACTGGCAGAGCCAGTGGGGGGGGTGGCACGTGCCCCCCCCCCCCCAATGATCCGATCGAAATTAGGGATTTTGATCAATGGGGTTTATTAGTAATAAATTGGCATTTTGCAACCCCCACTGCCACTGTGTAGCATATTATTACATGCCAGAGATGATAGGACAATAGTCCGAGTCCATAATTGGCAATAAGTAATGGCAAAGCAGTTATAAGTGATTCAGAATTGTGCGCAGTTGCGTATACAGTATAACGACTTCCCTGAAGGCATTCACCTTCAGCGAGCGTGTGCCGATCACACACGGTTCGAATTCGACCCTCGATCGATGGCTGCACCATCGCCACACACGCGTTGAATAAAAAGAAAGGGACAAGTCTTTGCTTTCGAACAAATCGTATCATTTTTCATTGCTGGAGGGATTGCCCCCCCTACCTGAAAATCCTGGCTCCGCCATTGCTCTCACCTGCTTATAAATAATGCACTACTATTGATGGAAGGCACTGACTGTTAAGAAAATTATTGCGGGCTTGGGCAGGGAAAAAAAACTTCACCCCAAGGGATGATGCCTGGTGGTCAAGACTAACAATGGAGCGGCAGTCATCGGCGAGAAACACACCCAAGAGGACGCCCACCATGGAGCAGGAGTAATGAAATCAGCCCATTGTATAATTGCTTAGTGGATTTATGCATGGCGAGACCGTGAGAGATAGTGATGGCCTGGGGAGGACATTCATCCGGCAGTGGATTGAGCATCCTTGACGACAATTGTGATAACCCGAAACCACATGTGTACCTTGCTTGCAGACCAAGTCCTCACTCGCTCCATGTCCCGAAGCAGGCACTGCCAGATGATCAAGCATTTCATGTTGGTGATGACGTGCTGCCACAGGGAGAAGTTGTCTTGATACACCTGGTCAATGCTGCATGGACGGAGAGACAAGATACCAATTTAATTTAAGATAAACCTTTGCTTAACTGGTCTGTAAAACAGAATCACAATTTAGATTTTTTTTATGCCTTTATATTACATGTACATTTCTAATATGTACATACATTAAACTTATTTCGCACCCTACATAGCCAACCGTGCTAAGCGGAAGTGTCATCATATTAAAATACCTCCATTATACATTTACTACTTAAACTTAATATCATCTTTTTAATACATTTGATTGTTAGCAAGTAGGTAAGAAAACAAAAACCAGCACGTTGAGTTTCAGTTTATTTCATTTGTTACACAGATCATCCCGTTTAGCCAGTTGCCCGGCTAAATTTCAAGCGAGATCCGTGGTGGTGCTGGTGCGCGAGCACAGCAACAACAAAAAGACTAAAAACGTCGACATCACAGAGAAAGGGTACAGAAGGGTTCTGAAGGAATATTGCACCACTAACGAGGTATATTTTCGTGGCATCCTTATCAAAGTGAGCTGTGGGTGGTGTGGATGAAGCAGGTCCCACCAGTCCCACAGAAGAAAGCTGCTCAACGCTGGGCGAGACGGAGCGATGGCATCAGCCGTGTGCAGGCGCTTGATCGATTGGCCTAGCAGTATAGCACGACCGCCGCTTGTTGCAGAGGGTCGGGGGATCAAATCCAGCGGCCGCACTGGTCAATGCCGCTGCAGCAACCGTAAGACCTTCTACTTCTCATTGGACGTAAAAAATCCCGCAACGTCCTTCGCAATAGCAGGCTATTGTATGCCAGCCTCACTTGTCCAAATTCGAAAATATACTGCAAATTTCTCAATGGAGATTATACACCTACTGGCAATTCACAGCAGGCGATCATTGGCACCAGTTTCTGGCTGTCTCTCAGCTTGTCTGTGGTTTTCATCCTAAAGGGCTAGACTGACTGAATGGACCCCACTCGCAAAAAACAACCCTTCTAAGGTTCTGATGTTATTTCGCACAACCGTGAGAGATGCCACGATGGACTGGGTAAGGCCTTGATCAAGCAGTGGATGGGTAATGGTTGACGAGGAAGATGATGATCCATAATAAAGGTTTTTTTTTTTTCGCGTAATATAAATGTGTCATTAAACTTGCGACCATCCAACACAGCAAGGTTTGTCACGTAAACAAAAATTGCCCAGTTACTGCTTCAGCACATTGGTGTGTTGGAGAGTAAACCAGCAGCATTTACAATTCCAGTACTGTTATGTTTCGCCAGTGATTACAACCAGCTTCATCAGGCGATTAGCCAGAATTGTGAAGAAGTTCTCCTGTTTCGGTGTTAAATATCGCAATGGTGATGTTATCACTGTGAGCCTATCACTAATTGGCACGTTTTCTTTTACTGACAAACGTTACTAATTATCTGCGTCTGGTGGTGACGAATTTAACGACACATTTATATTTATGTGAATCTAATCCAAGAAACCTTTATTGTGGATAATATTGGTCACAAAATCCTATGTGTTAAACTCAAGATGACGATAATGCTGTGTCAAATAGCGTGCAGGCTGTGCTCATGCTTACCAGCCAGCGATGTCCATGGCCTCCTTGTTGAGTGGTGACACAAGCAGGCACACAGACGGAGCGGTGATCTCTCCACCACCCGGAGCCACGACCCTCCAGCGCGTACGGTGGGAGTTGTTCTTCAAGAGGCACTGGTCGTTGGGATAGACCGTCACCTGTCCCAGGGGGAGGACAAACCAAGTCACACCCTGCTGCTACTGCGAAGTGCGGTAAGTTGGCAATCATAGCGCCATACCTTGCCATTCCAGAGCCGGGATATTTAGTCGATGAAATTGATTAATTGACGATGAATTGCAGTCAACTACTTTTCCTAGGTCGATTAAATGAGTCCCTTTGAAAAGCGTGGCCGCATCCACATCCTGCCTCCCGTACGCAGGAAACCCCTAACAAGACACGCCCAGTGTGACATGGCTGACGTTGATGCCAATGACATCACCATGCCTCACAAATCACCTCCCGTCAAGCAGAATAAGCAGGCAACGAGTTGTGAATTTCTTTTTTACAAAAAGGAAAGGTAAGCAAAATCACTCAAAGTAAGTAAATAAATGCAAATGAAGTATATAAGTTCAAATTGCATTAGTACATCAATTTCCAAGCTTGGGGAAAGGCAGCAAAACAACAGCAAAAACAGTCCCAGGCCATACCAAGAGAACACACAGACCCTTTCTGGCTACGCGATACGCGTCCGGTGCGTGCTCGCACCCCAACGCTCTTAACAATCCGACCGTGCACGAGACCCCCCCCCCCCCCACCCCACTTGCCTGCTCGGTTTTATACTCGCACAGGGCAGTGAGTGGAATGAGCGCCTGGACCGGATTCTGCGGATCCCTGGGCTTCAACTGCACCACCGTCTTGGCTCGGTTCATCAGGTTCAACACGGTCCTGTTGTAATCTGCCAAAGCGTCTCTCTCGGCCTGTCGTAGGGGCACAACACACAAAGAGAGCCAAGTTCCACGGAGGCATGCCTGGCAGCGGGAGTTAAAGGCGGAGGTGACATGCAATTTTTGGATCCTGTGTGGCTTTGGCACGGAGACAAAGGGACAGGCAGTTTTTCTTTTTTTTTTCCAGTAGCACATTGCATCCAATTATAAAGACCAAGTGAGATCATAATAAGTATGGGTGTTCATACCATAACGAATGAACATCGTGTCCATGTTTTCTACTTTGCATGCCAGCATTCCAAGCGAATGATAAAGGCAGCATTATGCAACAAAATCAAGTTTTGTTGTTGAAATGTTTTATTTTATATGCAACTTAAAATCCTCATCTCAGCATTTAAGTTCGGTGCACAAGCTATGTTGTCTGTGGTGCTTTGGAAATTGTATAATAAGATAGTATATTAAAAGTCTCTATCACTGGGATTCCAATAATAATATAGTGACAAATACTTGGATTATTCAAATAAAAGTGTTCATATAAGTTGAGTAAATTGCTTTGTTTTTTATAGGGAATTATTTACATTTACCAGCCACTCCTGCCATAATGTGATACTAGTTTAAACGTCATTAACAATTTGTTTAAGATTATAGCTCTCTATGATTGGACAGGATCTGTCACGTATAACTTATTTCAAATTAAAACGTATCCACTGCATAAAACATTTATTTATATAGATAAATATATAGGGCTTAGAGATAACTTGATCCTGTTTGCGAGTAGGCTCGGTGTTTTTTGGACCAACGAATACATTTCCATTCATCCTATTGACTTACCAAATTACTTGACTTGAATAAAAAGTGAATGAGAAGCCACGTCTCTGAAGTAAACAGATAGGTAATTAATGTCTGCCAAGGGACATTACAATCTTTGTACAGAAATACTCACCATAGCAGACTTCAGAAGAACATCAAGTTTGTCCAGGTTTGTAGACTTGTCACACACATATTTCATTTTTATTGCTTCTTGCTGGCTCATCAGGTATTTATCAACCTCCTGGGCATCTTTAAAAAACTAAACAATAAAACACAAACACGCCACTTGAATTCCAAAAACACATACTTTGGCGTCTTGTATTCTGAAATGTTAAGCACATTGTCTACACTTGTGATGCATTGTTGTTGTTGTCGAAGCATTATGGATAAAAGCATATATAACTAGAATTCTGATCTGTGTCTTGTCTTATAAATAAAGGTACGTTTAGTCCATCGGCCTCTTGGCTTGCAAGGATAGGGCACCATAGTTAAAATGCAGTGCTCTTACCATTAACAATTGGTAAGCCGGCAGCATTTGTTTAACAAGCCTGACTGCTGACGAGACCCAGGCGCTTGCAACTGGTCCACAGTGTTTTTCCTTAATAAAACGCTTCTAGATAATATTGATCTGTAAATCAAATAGGCAATCGACTAAATGTATATTTACATGTATGTGAAGACACAGAACAGAGGCCTGGTACAAGTTGCTTAAATAAACATGGTGTAGGCCCGTGTAAGATGAGAGCAATTTAAATTTGTGGAATTTGTAGGAGTGGTTGCTTAAAGCTGTTTGTGACCATAAACAAACGCAAGTAAAGGTGTGGCCGACGTGGAAACATACCTGAAAGTAGTTTGTGTTTTCTCTCAGGTGTATATCAATGCAGCGGACAAGTTGTAACATCCAGCTCCACTGTGTCTGCAGCGTTTGCATGTACGCCTTTCACATAGACAAAATCAGCATGTTAGCATCGTTCCGCCAGGCAGTACGGACTGTCAATTAACGTGAGCGTGGTGTCACAACAAAATACAGAACTCTTCTCATCCGCGACCCTATGACCCATGTCTCCCATTCAGCGTGGAAACTGCCGGGTCTGCGAAAGATCCTGTTACCCGTGATGATATTCTTCCTATTATCCGCAATTGGCTTCCAATTTAACTGCAAATCTTTTACGACATAAGGAGTTCATCGGTAAATGTATCCTATCACCTACGATTGTACGCAATTCTTGCCCACGGATGAACGGAGTTCATTTTTGCACAGTAACACTGTGGATAATAAGATCCATTATGTTCCTTCCCACAAATCACCATGGATAAGAGGATGATTTTTGTTGTTGTCAGTCCCCAGGGGTCACCTCGATGGTCTCGGCTGCTGGGTGGTCTTTCAGGAGTTGCTCGCCAAGTTTCTGGATGCGGTCAATATCGGCCTCCTTTCTCTCCAAGTCCTTTTGCAGCTCCTACAGGAGGAACACAACATCCTCATCAGCCAGCTTCATCCCACTGCTGGATGAGGGTCTCCCAATGGTGTGCATCAGATGACCTGTTCCAAAATGATTGTGATGGCCACCAGTGATCCAGCACTTTTGAGCACAGATTATTGGATTGTGCTGAGATTATCATGTGTGTGTGGGCGTGCGCGCATGTCACCGCCACTTAGTGGCAAATTGTGGCTGTTGTTGTTGTGTTGCATACCCACCTGCAGGGCTATGAGGTGACCTACGCAGAGTGCGTGTGTGAATGTGCGTGCCTTTCCCTTGCGGGGTGCAGTGTGATGCAGTGGTCAGCGCATTGCGCTACAAACTCGATGACCAGAGCTCGACTTCCGCTTACGTCAGTTGTGATTATCTGAACAAGTCCTGGGCCTCCCCTTGGCCGGCTCAGCCTTAACTAAGTACCCGGTGCAGTGCGTAAACATCACCACTGGGGGGAAGAGGCGGCTGGGCGTCGTTCTGGCAGCACCACTCCCTCATGCACCATGCTGGCCTTCATAGATTGCTTGAAAATCGTGCTTGCCCCGACAGTCTGTGGCTATACCAGGCTATACGGTGATTTTTTCTTGTCTTTTGATCCCATTGCAAGCGCCAGCTCTCTTTGGACGCTCCAGTCATGTGTAAAACTATTCAATAACAGAGTTGGCCAAACATCTGAAATGCGAAAACGCCCCTGGAAAAAAAAGTCCCGAGAATCTCCACTCTTTGTGTGAACTGCGACCCCAGGTTTGCTCACCGCGTGCGCGTCCCGTTTGGCCGACATGTTGGTGTTGCGGTCGCTCCAGTCGAAGACGAGCTCCTTCTCCTCACGCAGGTTCAGCCACTTGAGCTCCTCGGTAGCCTGCATCATGAAGCTGCGTAGATCCTTCATGTGCTGGATGTGTCTTCCAGAGGATTCCTGTTTCACACAATCATCATCATCCTCATAGGCCCACTGAGCTATGTAGCTCTTTTTCTGAAGCGACCTCGCCATCATAAATGATAGCTCAAAGAAGCGGCTTTATCAGACGGAAATTTATAGCAGCCAAATACTCTGAGTCATGTTGACTCCACAACCTCCTGCATAGCAGGTGAGGGAGTTAACATCTTGCCACCGCTGCGCCCCCATCATGGGAAGTCCTTCATCCAGCAGCAGATTGACAAATGGTAACACCTAATTTAATGATTATAAGATAATCCACTTTATATATACAGTATATGCAATGACCTGTGCACCACAGACATGCGCTATGCAAAATGTCAAATCAAATAACATGTCCCCGTACACTTATGCACTGTGCAGTACTAGGCTTTAATCATTGTGATCAACAGCCATGATCAATCCACTGCTAGGTGAAGGCTAACCCCCAAGCTATCGTCATCCATTGCGATCCTGCGACAGAATAATTTGCCGAGCAACCCTGCACGATCTGGAGTCAACGTTCCATCTCCGTGGTTTTACATCCCCTTGGATGCGTTACCTCCCGAGAGGAAGGGGAGAGTAAAGTATAGCCAGCTGTCCTTTGCCAATGATGAGAAACTTTTGACGGTAGAGAAGGCTTGTTGTGTTATTTGTGAAATGTGTTCATGGTTAAGGATTTAACGTACTTCACAAACGCAACAACAGAACTGTAAAGAAATAATGTACGTATGTATGCATTTTTAACAGCTATTTTACCTGTAGTATTTAAAATTAGGACCAGATTGTAGTGTATTATTTTAATGTTTTTTTATTTACTTTCCATAAAATAAACAAAAAATTGTAAGCTGCATACCTATGAAAGCTGAATAACACTCTTTGGTTCTTTCGGTAAAGTCACGTAGAAATAAAATAAATTAAATAACAGAATACGACGTTTCGATTGCAACACAAGCAGTCGTCATCAGGTAGAACTTAGCTAAATTTGAGAGAGAGACAAAACACAGACACGGGGACACAAACAGACACACAAGCAGAAAGAGACAACACAGAGACACACAGAGAGAGACACACAACATAGACACACAGAGACCCAACGTCTCTGTGCCGAGGCCTTAAATAGAGATAGAGGGGGGGGGGGCAAAGAGAGAGGTGGGTCTGCTGGAGCAGAGAAATAAGCATGTCAATGAGAGAGCTGTGTGGACGGCCGTGTGGACGGCCAGGGGACAGAAAGACCCAGCATTTAATCTATTTTCTTTCTACGTGACTTTACCAAAAGAACCAAAGAGTAATTCCTGCAGTCACGAAAGCTTCAAATCAAGTCTGAATAACACTATTAACACTCATTATGTTTTATTATTGCTATTCCGTTGTAATAAGGGTTATTATACGCTAAAAATGGCATTCATTGGCTTTGTCAGACACTTAGGCACAATTTTTTTTTAAATGTCCACTAAACTAAAACTTAACACGAGCAGTTATAAATTACATCACTCTTTTAAGCTGGCAATTACCAATAGTTTCCCACAATTATTGATCAACACATCATCATCGGCCTTGGTCAACCCACTGCCGGATGAGGGCATCGCTAAGCCACCGCCATCTCTCAGGATCCTAGAATGTAATCATCCACCCGATACCTAACATACACACGAGGCGACTCCGTCACTCCATCTCCTCGGAGGATGTCTTCTGAATGCATTCCATTTCATAGTTTACTGGACTTTCTTACCCACCCCTACTAAACATCTGTGAAAAAAGCTTCATAGCCCATTGGATTTATCCATGATAAATAAAGATTCCGATTCTGGCTGACATTCTGTCATTACTCTTGACCGTCTCACATCATCGCTTGCAGCAACTTTTCCTGACCAAGCCCACTTGCCTTCTTAAGAGTTTGAACGTTCTCTAATCCACTCGTTCCTCTTTCTGCCTCTCAATGTAATTTCAATCACGATCTGCATCTCCCCATTGCTTGTTCATGCACTCTTCAGTTTTTGTTCCCATTGTCCAGGTATTTTTGTTCGGCACATACATCATACCTGTCATTAAAATACTAACCTCCTGTTGTGTTATTTTAGGCATTGACAATGACTCAAAAGTAGCAGTTGCTTTAAATTGCATAACAACCACACAAAATCAGCCCATTAGCTCGCGAAACAATAAGTAACTTGAGTACAAAGGGCAAGGTATAAATGTGACTTACCAGTAAGTTATGGTATTTTGAGTTGAGCTTCAGCAAAAGGTCACAATATTCATCCCTCATTTCTGGTGGCATGTTAGACTGAAATAATAAATGAGACACAGAAATGAAAGAAGGTTGTGAATCATTCCAGCAGAGGACTTCAAATGGGGTGTTTGTTAATTTGAAAATGACCATTGTAAGGTTGTAGGCTGATGTCATTTATTATCTAGTTTGTAAAAACCGCAATAAAGTATTGATGTTACATAAGGAGTGATTTAATTTTAGATGATTCTTATTAATTGTATTAATGTAACAGCCGTTACATAGTGGAGGATGCCAATCACATTTCTAGCACATGCTATACACAACAATGTGTTCATTCTCTGCGGTTGCAATGTTCTCTTTCAGACGCAATGCGTGCCAGCCCTAACAAAGTGGCGCTCGTGCATGCCCTGTGTTAGAATGCCTCTTGTTCTTGTTGCAATCCATAAATAATACCACGGACTAAAATACACGCCAAAAAGAAGGAATGCATTGGGACGGGTGATTGAGGCGCATTCGAGCTATTGTAGTGAAGAGGAGTCTGAGACTGGTTCTTCAACCCACAGCCACACTCGTTCCTAAAACCAACCCCGAACACGCGTCTCACAGCCCCTTTTTTTAAACCCTCCATCTCCGCCCTCGTTCCCAATACACAGCTCCATCTGGCACACCGAGTCCGTGTGACCCCCGTCTCGTCTATTATCTGTGCGTGTGATTGGTGTGCTATGCTGAGTGCGAGTGCGTGAGGATGGCTCGCAGATCCCCTACATCAGTACTAAATACAAATGTAACCATGGACATAAATGAAGGGTTTATAGTTTTATGTACGTAATTATGTACGCCAAAAAAAGAATTATACTGCTTTGCAGTTTATTGTTAAAATATTTGGACTTTGGAGCATAAAGATCGCTGAGATGCAAACGCTGCAGACACAAGAAATTATTTTCTGAATGCGTTTTTCAAAGTGTGCATTTGAGTCCACATCGGTAATGACTTTGCACTGCGAGGTCACCTCTGTGAATGGGCATGGAACTACAGTACATTTACAATGATGTGCATTACAAGAGTGGCATGAAAAAAAAGCCTTAATGTGAAGTATATGTCAAGATGCTAGTTTAAACCCTTGCCTCAGATGGCAGCTCATAAGATTAAAATTAATTAAGGATGTTAACTATTTAACTATGATGTTAGATATTTACATTATGGATTAAGGTGAATATAAAAGCCATAGTTCTAGCAAGTTCTTGATTGTGCCATTGCTAGCAGAACGGCCTCCACTTGAGGGATCTATTGAGAGCACCTCTTGATGGTAAGTTGGCGTAATTTGACATGCAACATTCGGGTCACTTGTAATACTGAACCAATTGATCGGAATACGTTTTTCAAGCATTTTCTTTTGGTTCAGGGCCATCCTAAGAGTAGTGAGAGAAACACCTCTAGCCATCCCATGCGGCTCATTTTTTTCTGTTTAATCTACTTAATGATTAACCCCGTTTTTTGCAAAGTGTGTATGACAACAACAAAAACTCATGAGCCATTACTTCCTTAGATAATGACTTAGGAAATTACCTCCAGCTCGTTTGCCCTGTCCACCTGGCTTCCCAAGCCAGCAATAGCAGTCTGCATGGTCTGGAAGTTTTTTTGCTGCGACTCAACGCTGTTCATATCACTAGCGCACACCATGCGGCTCAAGTGGTCCTGAAAGCATCGCACAGCATTCAATGTCAACAACAACGCATTGTACAGACTGTCAGATGTATGTACATATGATGAACTTCTTCCGCACCGTACATAGCCAACCATGCTAATCGGAGGTGTGGGGGGGGGACAAAATGCTAAACACAAAAGGAAGTTCTAAAGAAATTAGTTTTAAACCTAGATTTAAAAGTGCATAGCTCCAGTGGCTTCCAAATATCGGAGACAGCCGCAGAAGCGCATCTGAAAACGCACGATGCTGTGGCCGTCTTTGTTTGACGGATGGCTAAAAGCTGCCGCTGCTGTGATAATGACCGGAGTTCGCGTGATGGTTTATGCTCCTTGACAAGAAAATCAAATCCCCAATTGCCTCCACTTATAATTTTACTGCACAAGCTGCTCGTTGATGGCGGCTGTGATTGCAACACTCTCAACAGTAAAAAGCCCTTGGCTTCTATTCCCGCCCGCGCTGCAAATGACACCAAAAGAAAAATGCGACACATTTGACACTCGGCACGTTCAGGCGGACACGTGTGCGCTAGCTGCACCCCCCCAGCCCCCACATTGCGAGCGCATATAGGGTGTAGAGAGCGAGCTGGGTCCGGACATGTAGGTATAACAACGCTTGGCATTTATCTTATGCAAAGCACTCTGCAAACAAAAGTTAATTGTCTCTTATTCTTGGTTCTTTCGGAACGTCGTGATCATTTTATTGTTTTATTTTTATAATTTTATTATTTCCCTTCTACGTGGCTTTACCGAAAGAACCAAGAATATGAATCCCTGCAGTCACGAAAGCTTTAAATCGAAATTTAATTGTCTCTGTTGACATTGTTGAAAGCGCCTATAAAGTACACACATTATGCACACAGCAATGCATTCCAGGCAATGTACAGTACTTCTGCGACAAGCAAATATATAGTGAGTAATGTACAAAAGCATATTTGTGTGTTAGTAACATACTGCCCTTGGGTCACCTCCACCCCCATTACATTGGTCAAAGGGGCTGTTTGACTATACTTCACCAGAATGGTCAGTACAAGTTGGTAAAGGGGGTGCCCGGGTCCTGCTACATCGAGATGTTTGGCTAATTTTATTAATGAGCATTTGGCATGTGGTAGGAAACCGGAGTATTCGGAGAAAATCCACACATAGGATGGACCGACGCTCAGCTCCACACAAAAAGATTCAATCTCTTGCTATACTGACATCTCCTGGGCCCCTCCTTGGCCTAAACCAATACCTGGTATTCCCGGGCGACCCTCACATCCAAACACTCACCAGGATCAACTGTGAATAATTCTCAAAAAAATCCGCCAAGATCTGGCTCATTTCCGAGTGCTCCGATTGGTGTGCGATGTTGATGACGGCGGGTGGGTTGTGTGGGTTGTGTGGATTTTTTTGTGTTTTTTTCAGTCTGTTTAAATGGAACCAACCTCCTTGCTGTTCACCCAGCTGAGGAGGTCCTTAATGGAGCGGAGGTGACCCGCAGCCTCCTGGCTGGAGACCGCGCTCACGCCGTTGTAATGCTTGCCCTTGCCCGACGCTTGGCTTCAGACCCAGATTCTGAAATTGCTCCTGCACGACTTGGCTGTTGCGCATGACCACGTGCTCCTCGCAGCCAGAAAACTGATGCTGCTGCCCGCCCAGCCCTGGCTGCACATTGCACTGGGGGCACGTGAAGGACTGCTGGCCTGAGAAATTCTGCTGAAACTTGCTCGTTTGCACCCCACCGTCAGGGAGCTGATTGAGCGAGGCCCGGTACTGCCCCATCACCTGGAGCTCGTCCTGCAGCTGCACGAGCCTGGAATTCCAAAAGAGAGAGGAGCGATGCGAGTCAAGCAGCAGCAGCAGTAGGAGCAAATCCTTGTACAACTGCAGTGCAAAGGTATTGTCGGTTGTGCTCAGAATTAAAATATGTATTCATACCGCAAGAATCCATAAGCTATGAAGATATTTGATCACAGATGTCCAGTAGGTCAGAACGTTACAACAACACGATCGGAATGCAAAGTATAGAAAAGGTAAACAAATCACTTTGCTTTTCTGTCTTGCCAAAGTTTGTTATTTAGGGTTGAAAATCGTCAGGACTTGATATACTTTTGCAATTTGCACTTAGATACTCTTATCTATTTTACGTATTTATATTTTATTATTTGATTACCTTTTCTATACTTTGCACTCCAATCGTGTTTTCGTATTGTTTGTTGTAACTTTCTGACCCACCCCCACTGGACAGCTGTGAAAAAGAGCTTAATAGCTCATCGGATTTATCCAGGATAAATCATGATTCCGATTCTGTTTGCGGGGTGCACCCTGTGTTGTTTGGAGCGATATCTGAGCAAAATGTCAGACATCGTGGCGGCGAACAAAACGTGACATATTTGCCAAAGAATTTCCCCAACTTTATTTCCCAAATGGGCTCCCGGCACGTTGAGCGAAACGTCGGACATCATTCCGAGCAGCACGCAGTGCGACCAATAAACACATCGGAGAGCTGTATCCACGCACCGTTACTCTGGGCGAATGCACGAATAAACAGGAGGCAGTTGAGGGGTGAAGTATAACAATCGTGAGGCGTAAAATGCACATGCAGCAATCACGAATTTTTTTTTACGATATCAATTATTTACATCACCTAATCATTTGCTGTTGGCAGGGCAATAAAATATGCACTGTATGGAAGTTAAATTAGTGGACATCAATTACAGTATGCTTGTGTTCTCACTGTTATGAAACGGATTATAATTTACAGCCCTTTGTCAATCCACTGTTGGATGAAGACCTACCGACACCACCTCCATCATGGAAGTTGTTTGATCATATTCTACCACGCTAGTTTAAGTGGTAGTTTATCTTATCTGGCTTGTAAGTACGATATTTAAAACACACAGCGCATAGCTGAACATAATTTATAGTTCCAGACCACTCAGCAAATGTATTCAACACAAGTGCCTAGGGAAATAGATTTTGATTCCGTATACATGCGTGCAGTGAATAGTTGTGGTGCACAAACCATTCCATACTTTGAGATAATCGTGAAACAATTCACGGTTTATTTGTCAATCCACTGCTGGATGAAGGGCTCCGCAGTTTTTTGACCTCCGCATTCTTTGAGGCAGTGATGGTTGGTAAAGAGCCTCAGAGACCATTGTAGATAAATACGCCAGCCACGACTGAGAATCAATCTTATGTCACCAGGTTCACAGCACAAGTGTGCTGACCACTGCGCCCCCTGCTCTACCCCCAACAGAACCATACAAACCGAGAGTAATCCATCATCACAGGAGCGAACTGCACGTTAGATAAAGGCAGGCATCGTCTTACACGTACAGTACACTAAATTGCCTGCATAATAATAATCCAAGCTGTCACGCAGGCCGTTATATAATTGGTCGTCCAATTATATATAGAAATGGCAATTTCCTTTCTATTTAGTTCACCCCAGAGCCTTGCCCTCGAGCAGACACTGTCGTTAAAAATTTAAAATAATAATAACGTCACCGAGTTGGCAGTGTCTCAGGCATGCCAAGCTGGTGGCGTAAGGCCGCGCTGCGTGTACCTGTTGTACAGGGCGTTGGAGTCAGGGTTCCGCGTATCGTAGAGCTGGATCTTTTCCGAGAGCCACTTGAGCTGGCGCTGTGCCTGCATCAGGTATTCGTCAGTCTCGGTGATGTGCCATGGCTGGTGACCTGTGTCCACGCGCCGCAGATCCTGTCGGGGGAAAATTTACATTTTTGTGAGACCACAGTATCCTGATCCCTTGAGTTCTCACTCGATTAAACCGTAAAAATTACAAGTCAAGGTGAAATAAATTAATGAGAAGCGTATGTATGTTGAACTTCTTTCGCACCGTACGTAGCCAACCGCACGTTGGTTTTACGTTAGCTTTTTTTAAAATCACAGTTGTCGAGCGCAGGGCCCAAAGGCCCTAAAATGCCAAGTGGCACAGAAACGAAGAGCGCTATGAAGGTTGCAATAAATAAAGAGTTCATGCGTTTCTTGAAGCGAGCAAGGTTATTACAGGGCCTTGGGGGAACACCTGAGACGACGGGAGGGAATTCAAAGTTAAGCAGTGCGAGGGAAGAAGCGGAGAGAAGTGTTTTAATCTGCAGTGTGGCGACTGTGAACAACAACCGTGAATGAGAGGAACAAAGTCAGTCTGGTAGATCGTGCCCTTCACAGGCATAGCAGCCATGGTCAGAGTGAAAGAAGAGTAATAAGGGCGGTGACTGACCACTGATGAGTAAGTGACTGGAGTGACTCGGCAAATGCTGGTTCATCAGTCAACCCAATTACAAACGTTAACAAATTAGGTATACAGATAGTTCCCGAGTTACGATGGTCCGACTTACGATATTTCGATTTTACGATGGTGATAGCGATACGACAAAATTGTAAAATATTTTTAATTTTGCGCAGCAGGCAAACGCAGCAGCATACGAGGTACGATACTGTACGTTGGGACGCTGCCGGGATGTACTGTACGCATCTCCCGCCTTGTGTGGTGATGCCTCACTCTCAATGCATGTTAAAAGTTTTTATAGCAGATAGGATTGTTTCCTGAAAAAACTTTCTATTAAATTTCAGTTCTTATAGGTCGGTTAAGAATTTACCTTGTTTTTTTACTTTACATTTTAATGTGCAATACAATATTGTAATTAATAAATACATACAGTATATAGTTTATACAGTACGGTACGGTAAATTGCTCTGTTTTGCTAAATTATCACCATTCTTTAAGACTCCTGGGTAGGCTAGGCTATCTTCGACTTATGATATTTTTGACTTACGATGGGGTCGTCGTAACGCATCTCCATCGTAAGTAGAGGACTACCTGTATAAGATGAATGCAATACTCTGCCTATGACTCACTGTCTCTATCTCTATAAAATAAATGGCCGTTTCTCCACAGCGTCTTGAGATGGGATCACATTTAGACATTATATAAATCCAATTTGCATTGGATTGTTTAAAAAATTACTAACGGTAAAGTCAC